AAATTGTTTTTTTTTATCTAACGCCGAGAATAGCTCATACATATTTTACGTTGACATCATCTATTATATATAGCCATAAAACTTATAAATTCTTTTGACATAATTAGACTTTGTACAAAATGAGGCGTAATAATTTCATAAGGTTTATTTTCGGTTTACGTAAGTATTACCACATATCTTCCTATCGTTCAAGCTCAAATGGCTACCTATACGTCAAAAGCGATGCTTTAGAATTATTACTTGTACTTTATTCAGTTATAAACGATCCAAGGTCGCCTTCTTATCCTAAGTATAACTTTCATTTTCTTCATTCGATCGACGGTCGAACACCACGACTATATGCAAGTTTATATGAGTGATAGAATACGTAATGGAGATAGATATCTGTAGCAGAACTGGAGTAACAAACAGTTTAATGGATCAGTAAACAAAAGGGGCCATAGGTAGGCTAGCGATATAGAACCCCCGAAAGGGTTCCCACCCTGTCGTGTCGGGGGGTCTTAGTAGCAGTAGCTTGGTCACCCGCGGTGAACAAAGAGGAACCCACATGGCTGGCCTAAGGTGAAGGGCCAGCCCAAGGTGTCCACCCTATGTAGGCTTGGCGAGCCCACTTCGGATGTGTGTTGGTGGGCTGCGGCGAGAGGGGTGTCCTCTCCCCCTAACGCTGCAGCCGACGTGGAGTCGCGAAGAAAGAGAACTGTTGGTATGGCGATGCGCAACTCACCCTATCCTTCGCGGCTCTGACGGGGCCGCACACCTCTGTTGATGCGGTGGTGGTGGGGCCGCGGGGGAAGAGGAGTGTCGGTATTGCGAGGCGCCGCTCTCCCTAGAAGGAGGAAGGCGCGCCATGTGTTCTAGTGCGCCTTACCTGAGAAGGGGATGGGGGAGGAGTAGTCCTCTCCTGAGGAGGAGCCGCCCTGAGGCGGCCGGCGCTGGTGGGGCCGCGGTTGTGTGCGAAAGCGTTCCCGTGGCCCTGGCAATATGCGACGAAGGTGGAATACCATGGGCTTTTAGTCGGTGCGAGTCCGGCATAACCCATACTTGCCCCCGCGAGGCGAGTGTGCGTAGGCATTTCACCACGTTTTAAAAACGGCTAGCCATATAGCTCCAAGAACTGACAACAAATGAAGAAGAAAAGTTCTCGAGTGGTAATGTCGAACCGGTAATCGGAGAGTAGGTAACTTAGTAAGCCATGCTGATAGTCAAAAAATGCAGGTGGCTCTATTGAGCCACCTGCATTTTATGGCATAAGGTATTCCGTATGCCATAAAATAATGGCATTCCTTAGGGAATGATTATATTAAGCATTAAATTTATGAGGGACTGTATTGATGGTGATGATGGCGATAAATTATAATAGAGAAAACATGAAATATTTACTGATAATGCAGTTACATAAATCTTTATGTTGCTGCGTGTTTTACGATAATTGTAGAACACATTCTTTTGTTAAGGTAACATTGATTACATTGGAATGTTTTATTATGTTGAGGCAGTTTTATAGTGTGAATGGTACTTGTGAATCAAATTAAATAAAAAATTATTGTAATTTATTTTGTTACATTCAACTGAATTAAACTTCTTCGCGTTGGAAATAATAGCCTTGAGAAATGGTATGTAACACTGTTTAATTTTTTTTAAGTCTATTAATTATTTTTATATAGGTAATGTAAATGTAGTTTAAGCCTTTTAGCCACATATTAGCAATAAAGATATCCATCATAGTTGATTTTTTTAATGCAAGAATAAATTAAAAGAAATTTCAAAATCAAGGAATCATTTGAGTAAACAGCTTAAAAAATATATACATCAAAATTAATTTTTATTTATGATTTCTCAAAGATGTTTCGCTTAGCCGCCAAGCATATAGTAAATCAGCACTTAAAACTGCAATTAACAATTTCATTGGTGCCGGCGGGGATTGAACCCTGGTTGCCGTTCTGTGAAATTACACTTCACTACACACAAATACATGAATGTAGTGAAGTGTAATTTCACAAACATTATTCATCCTACAACCATAGCTGGAACATGGCTATACCATGTAAAACAGCATATGAGAGGGGTGAAATATTGATTTTTCAAGACAAGACCTCTCGACTGAACCTTTACGATTATTTACCTGATGGTATGATCAATGGTGAAATAAATGTTGAGGAAACTGCACATCCGAGAAAATATTAAGTATATTTGGAGATATACTACAAATGTTGCAGTACCATGTTGAAAATGGTTTAATGAATTTCGTTACCATATTGATTGTTGTCGTTAATTGCTCTGCAATGGAACTCTAATTTAGGTTTAATAAATTATAGCCTATCAGCAATAGGCTAATCTTTCTACCTAAATGTAAAATATTAGTACCAAACCATCAATGTCCTAACAGAAGATTTTTTTTTCACAAGCAAATTTAGTATACCTTGACAAACAAGCAATGGCACACTGGACCAACAAACAAGTATAATAAAATGATCAAATGTCTTAATTAGAAAAAATATTCATCCCCAACTAATATACAATGTCACCAGAGTCAAAAACGCAATTGACAGATGCCATATTGGTTCAAAACAAAAAAATAAACCTCTTGTAGAGATCTCTAACTTAAAACTACATGCGCCTCCCTTGTATTTATAGTAGATTTCATTATTTTCTGCCGACTTCCAAAAAGGAGACGGTACTCAATCCGACTGTATGTTTTTTTTCTATGTGTGTTTCCTCATAATTTTTTACTGAGTGAACCGATTTCGATGATTCTTTGTTTATTTGAAAGCTGGTACTTCTCGTGTGGTCCCATATGAATTTGATCAAGGTCAGACCAATAGCTTTTGACAAGGTCAGACCAATAACTTATATTGAAGTCGGCTGTACAAAATTTTTAATTTTAAATTATTATCATGTCAAATACAGTAAAAATACTAGAATCTACTTAAACACAATAGATAGGACAAGCAGATGTAGATTTTATAATATTTAATATGGTAAATATAAGAAAATCTACCAAAAATTCAAGGGATGTGTATAGTTTTAATTAGACAATCTCTACACCTCAAAAACTAAGTAATGTTATATGTGATTTGTATAACATAAGCTTATAAAGCTACATATAGAAAAAGTAAACCTATTTTAACGCACCTTTTTTGGAGGTTTTGTTCACAGTGTTACAGTTTTTTTCTCATTTTCAACACTCACACAGTGAACAAGAATGTAAAATATTTCTTAAAGAAATACAGTAACTTCTCAAGCTGAACTCTTGGCAATATTTAAGCTAATTACTTCCTATAGACAAATATGGAACGTTAGTCATCCAGTTTAAGAAAGCTGTCCATCTCTTTTCCACTTATGCTCAGCAGATAAGATAGAGGCAGTTCTATGAATTTATGGAGATGTCAATTACCTGACACAGTCCCATTATCTAATGCCTAATCCATTTTAATCTCATAAAAGTGGTCATTATCAAGAATGTTAATAACTTGCATACTATCATTATATACCATTTGCTATACATATTTATGATGTTTATTTACTGATAACAATATGTAGGATGTGTAGAGCGAGCCACTTCATGTTCAAGCCTTGACTAGCAACTTAGGTAGACTACAACATTTAACAAACTACTTGAGAACAAAATAACTGCATGTTTAAATACAAAAATGAAAAACATGCTTAAACTAAAGAAAAAAGAGTGTACACAAGACATTGTAGGGTGCACATTGCAGAAACTGTGCTAGCTACAATAGAAATTAATAACAGATCTTACAAAATTACGATTTTCGTGGGGCTCCTCCTGTAAGATAATGGGGGAGTTTATCAGAGGGTCCCGGTCATCTCCAGGGCGGCCCTCCGATGCTCCCCCTTCTGATCGGTTACGGCAGGCATCACATCTCCTCATTTCTATGCATACTTCTTAACTTCGGACTGTAGTTTTGAATTCTTTAGTATGCAAATAACACATTAAAGTTTAATGTGTTTATATTTAAAATAATAAGAATAATATATGTAATTAAATAAATTCACTAATCTAAAATATTAATTTAGATCAAAAATCTGTTTATGTGGAAAAAAATACTAAAAGTATCTAAATTAAAATTAATAATAGTAATACAATACCTCATTATCACTGTCTAATAAACGTTCTTCCATAATACAGAATTATTTTGTACACACTATATGAGTCCGAACGAACTACTAACTACACCCATTTAAGTCTTGGGATATTATGTTTACTAAAGACGATAAAAGTACTTTGAATCTATATTCTATCAGGCACAAAGAAATATGTATTGTATGCAAATTAAATCTTCGACCAGTAGCGAAAATAATTACTGTTTAACAATAATAACAAACGCAAATACCAGAGCAAGTAAGAATCAATTGAAACTTTAAGGATAAAGATATAAAAAATCAAGTCTACTCACAACTGTTTGTTGGCCTTAGTAAAATGAAAAAAAAAATCCATAGACTAGTCTTCTACTCAATTAACTAGCTCCATATTCGATAGGGCATGAATGAATTATTTAAAAAATGTTTGATTTCCACTGAAATTTAGAAGTAATCGTTGAAAATATAAAAATCAAAATGATCACAATCACAATGTGCTTACTTTTGTGCTGACAAGAGTGACATTTTTTTAATTTTTATTGTATCGCTTCGATACGCTCCGCACATTTCGGCTTAATTTGTACAGATATACAAATTACAAACACATTTTGACGTCTTTGAAAATATAGAATATAATTTTTTTTTATTCATTTACTTTAGAAGAAAATTAAAAGTGATAGTAACAGTAACTGTGTATTCATTTAGCAGCAATTGCAAAAGAAATAATTTGATCATAAAAATGTTCATTGCGACAGTAATAGGCAGTATGGCTTTGAAACCATAAATTTGAAAATGATAAATGTCTACACGTCATCTCTGTAGTTTAGGTACTGATAGTGTGTTGTCAAATATATTCAAAACCTGGAATTTTGTGAAAATTACAAAAGCATACTTATTATAAAATGGTAATTACTTTGATTGTGTTGTATATAGTGTAAAATCAATGAGTGAAAAAATATCCATCCAAAACTTTGCAGTTAAAAATTGCAACAAGCATGTCTTCGCCGCAACTTTACTTTCGATTTAAATAAATGTTTTTATTTACTTTCAGGTGCTTATAGCAGCTACAGTTTGTACAAAATCGGGGAAAGGTTATATAAAACATGTCACTTTAGTATTTCTGTAATTGCTTATAAAATTTGTAATATTTACTTTCTGATTACAGCCCTAGTCTCTCGACAATTTGTCGAAATGACAAAAGCACGTATAGAAGGCTTACTAGCTGCATTTCCAAAACTAATGACCGGAGGCCGTCAGCACACATTTGTAGAAACTGAGTCAGTTAGGTATAATTTTCTTTTTACCTGTAAAATTAGGTATATAAGAGTTTTCTGTTTACTACTTCCATCTTTTATTACCTTTTCAGATATGTATACCAACCTCTTGACAAGCTGTACATGTTACTTATCACAACTAAAGCTAGTAACATTCTGGAAGACTTGGAAACTTTAAGGCTTTTTAGTAGAGTTGTGAGTAAATTTTGTTTGTTGAATTTATTTATTTTTCGTCATATTTTTCCTAATTTTATAAGCAAGATAGTAGTTTTCAAAATTGCATTTTTTTAACATGGCACAGCCACTATCCACTATTATGTCTGCTGTACAAACAAGACAGCTTCACTGTCTAACTTCTAGAGCAGTTATTAGTGCCAGCACCGTTCATTTGACCGCATCCAGTGTAGAGTGGCTCAATACATTGATGACGGAGTTCTTTCCGATCATCTTGACTCACTGACGCTGCGAAGGGATGTTTGCATTTTCTATCACATCTATTATGGAGAGTGTTCTGAGGAATTGTTCTCACGCGCTCTGCACCTACACTAAACTTTATACTGCACAAACGAGTGGAAGTGGGTTTCTCAAAATACCCTCAATTCAAACTCGCTACCATTGAAATGACGCTCCACTAGAGTGACACAATCTATCGCTCACTCTCGATCCAGCTGGTATTTTATAGATGCGCCTACAGATACCAAATTGTGACAAATAATGATTTCTTAAACAGGTGTCCAAAACTAGGCCATGGTATTAAAACAATAATAAGTATCCTGACTTCCTCATAAATATGATTTCTCTATTGCATTTATTAATTATATATAATAAGTGGCATTTGCAAAGCCCCAATGCAGCCAAATAACCTTTTTTAACCCCCAACGCAAACAGAGGGGTTTTATATGTTTAACCTGTGTATTTATATATGTATCTGTTTGCCTGACTGTGACATCGTAGGTTCCAAATGGATGAATCAATTTATGTTTTTTTGTATGAAAGGTGACTTGATTGAGAGTGTTCTTAGCTATGATTCAAGAAAATCTTTTCAGTCGTTTGAAGATCATCAGTTCATTGTTTCAGGGTATTTTTTTTAATTTTCTATTTAATGTTATTTAGTAAGGCACTAAAAAGGAACAATCATTACTTGTACTATTTATTGATTAGCTTTTTAAATATTATTTAGTATGGATGTGTTCAATTCATTCAACAGTGATAATACTTATCACATATCTTGAATCAAGTTGTATTTAAAAATAGCATAGTAATAGTGTAAGAATATCCACTACCTCATATCATCCCGTGGGTTTTATAAGAGGTGACAGAGGAAGACAAACCTGGAGGTGGACAGCAGCGTCTTGCTAATAATAACAAAGAGAAATCTGGTCAGCAGTCTGATGAATACAAAATATCTCAATTAAAAAAGCAAAAAATTAAATTTAAAATTTTATTAAATTATTCACTGTTATTTCTAATGCTGATAGAAATGACAATGAAATAGTTTAAAGTCCGAGCATCTTTTGCTGTGTGCAAATTGAACTCAGGTTGTCTTCAATGAGGGCTAATAATTTTTCTGCTCACCAGATGTCGCTAGTTTACACCGAGGTATAGTTTTTTGTTAAACAATGTAATTTAATTGAGAAGTTGGTTTTTAACAAAAGTTTATCAGTTTCTAGAGTATTATATTAATACACAAAACAATGTGTCAGTGGTTTGCTCTTTAATTTTTTGCACATAATTAAGTTTGATTTATTTATTTTTAATCTTATTAATATAAAATATAGCTAATAGTACAGGAAGAAACAATAACCTTTACATTTTACCCTCACTTTCTAGTGGCGCCGCCCTGGTGGCAGAAAAAGTCGTGGGTGCCCTCATTCCTAGGGCTGGCACAGCACAACTACTACTTATCAAAAGCTTGTCTGTTATTTTTAAGCAAAATACGCGCTTAGAGGTGGAGTTGTGTAAAATAGCTCACCATAATCAATCAATTGTAATCATATTATTGAGCCATAAAAAAAATCATCAATTTTGCTACAGGTGCCAGAGTACTGCACGCAACTAACCGAAACAGAGGTGCTGAATCAAGCCTTCAACTTATTGTTCGCATTTGATGAAATTGTTGCACTCGGATACAGAGAAAGTGTGAACTTGGCCCAGGTATATATTGTTTTAACTTTTAAATATCACTAAAGGAAAGTGTACAATGTTTTTCTGTAAAGCCGGTATTCTGAGACAATCTCGAGAGTTACCTCAAGCCAACTCTACGGATTTTTTTTTAAATCTACCGAATTTTTCATAATCTACAGAACTACGGAATTTGAGAAGAAATCTACGGAATTTGATTTCCATGTTAATTAATTTTGTTTTTACTTTACAGTCCTTTCAGAATAATTATATTTTTAAAACGCAAAAAACAATTTATCATAAGTGTGAACTTTGCCGACAACCAACAATCGAAAATTTTAACAATCGTAGTAATTTTTTTAGTATAACTAACCATGCAGCTATATTACTGGTATAGTTATAGCACGAATGGGTCGGCTCAACCGGGGAAGGACCACACTCTCACAGAATACCAGCATAAAATAGCAGCTTAAGCTGCTGTGTTTCGTATGGTGAGTGTAGAGAACTGGAGACCCTTTTTACTAGAAACGAGGCATTCCATCTTAGTCCTCATGGGTGACAACGCATCTGTATTTTAATTCGTAATGGAGGATAGATGTAGATGTCCATGGGCCACAGTAACCACTTACCATCAGGTGGACTGTGTGCTCGTTTGTCACTCTAATCCTATAAAAAAAGTGTTAATTATTTTATTTGTTTCTTACTCAAAATATATTATAAAAGAAAACAGTTTTTTTTTTTTATGGTACTTTTTTCTTATATGTGCAGCTTGATTCTATGTTATATTACAATTGACCTTACAACAACAATTCTCAGAATTCTCTACGGAATTCTACTGAAATTTTTATGCCAATCTACGGATTTGGAAAAAAATCGAGTTAGTAACACTGCCTAAAGCTGCATTATATGTAAAAATTTATGTAACATATGCAGTGTAGCACAGTGTAAGAGAGTCCACTAACTAATATCATCTCGTAGCTGTCATAAGAGAAAATTAAATTTATATTATAATATTAAATAATAGAAAATTAAAACGGAAGAGATGGGTGGCAGCATTTTCCTTATAACAAATATTTTTTTTCTGTTTTGGAACGGATTACCAAAGGATTCTGCCAATGTCAAATATTTCATGAAAGCCACACAGAACTAGTTTCCGTTTCCGTAGATACTCTTACTAACTCTATTATGAAGTTATATAGGTAGTTATTTTCGAATGAATTAACATAATATATAGTTATACAAAATTATTGATAATATAATAAAACGGATGTAAGTGGCATAAGTTTCATAGTTTAATGTTTATTATTGGATATGAAGTCTAATAAAGTTTGTACAAAACAACTTTAAACTAAATTTAACAAAGACTTAAGATTTATAGGACGGGAATGTTATAAGCAAGAAAATTGTATAATGAAAAGGAGATGTTAAGTAATTCTTTAAACGATTTTTTTTATTTCATAAAATGTAAGCTCTACACTAGGAATTTCTCCTGTGTCGTGGGGGCAGCTTACAAACAAATTGCACAATTATTTGTAGGCCATACAAATACTTGTTCTGTGTGGGATTCGAACCCGCGGCCCTTTGCGCTGCAACTCACTTACTAAGCCACGAAGCCGTCAAAGGTTAGGTTATAACAAATTAGTAACCTACATAACTTAATAATCTCTTGCTTATGCATTAAAACATAAAGTAAGCAAGCATTAGCAACATGACATCAATATTTAACAAGGCAGTTTCACCGCATATACTTTTTAGTTTGCACTTACAGAATAACCACAATGGACAGTATTAAAAATATTTATTAAAATTTAATCATATTTATGTAATTATTGGAATTTATTTCAGGTTCGCTCCTTTGTGGAAATGGATTCTCATGAAGAGAAAATTTATCAAGCTGTAAGACAGGTAATATCATCATCATCATCATCATCATTACAGCCCTTCACAAGTCCACTGCTGAACATAGGCCTCCCCCAAAGAATGCTACAAAGCAGGATCCTGAGCCACCTGCATCCATCGACTTCCTGCATGTCTTACCAGGTCGTCACTCTCATCTCGTGGGGGGACGCCCTACACTTCACTACACACTACACAGGTAATATATAATCAAACAAATGTTTATACATTTCATGTGTCTAAACTCTGTTTAGCGAGAGTTGATAAAAAAGCAGGATTCCTTAACTCATTACGAATTGCGGCCTGCTAATTATTTTTGCTGATAAATAATTAAAAAAACGGCCGCTGAATCGACCGCCCCGCCCAGCTCGCGCTTCACAACAGATGCGAGCCTCGTACTACTTAACTCTGTGCTTGCGATATAAGCGACGCGCGTCACACACATTGCGATACATAAGAGAAAATGCGTGTGGTCTTTTCTCCATACAAACGTTCTCGCCTGTTTTCTTTCTGGTTTATGACCTTATTTATAGCAATGAGTTTTTACAGTAAAATAAATATCAACCTCTTTTATTTTTTTATAGGAGATAGGGCAAAAGAGCATACGGCTCACCTGATGGTAAATGATTACCATCACCCATGAACAACTGCAACACCAGGGGAATTACAGATGCGTTGACGACCTTTTAAAAAGGAGTACGCTCTTTTCTTGAAGGTCCCTAAGTCGTTTCGGTCCGGAGAAATCTCTGGTGGTAATCTATTCGACAAGGAAGTTGTGCGAGGAAGAAAACTTCTTTTAAATCGCACAGTGGTGGACCGCCAGTCATCCCGATGGTATGGATGATATCACGAGTTTTGTCGCGATGTGTTCTGACATTGCCTTGACAATGACACTTGAAGGACCTGAAGGCGGAATTATACTATGTCCATTTTTTTTCGTTTTTGATAATACATTATCTTTTTAAGCACTAAAACCCTTACAAAATGCTCAATATTGCCCATTTAGACCGCTGGCCTAAGCGTAGTGTTCAAATTTGATAACTAATACTGAAAAAAGAAAAACATAGGGACACAGTGTATATCCTTCTTATTCAGTGTATGAAATATCTTTTAAATTGGTCCAATATTGGCGGAGAAAATGGTAGAGAGCCAAACCTCAAATTATGCCTTTTTACTTATGCTATTAAATCGGATCTGCAGTTGTCCTTATCAGACACCGAGCGCTTGCAGAGCGACAGCGATAATTTCTTCAAATATCTAATTTTCAAAAGTGTTGGCCCGCATTTCCTCCGTGACTATGACTGTCACTATTGCGAGACGTTTTCATAATATTTATCAATTCTCGGCGAACAAATTTTAGCCGATGTTGAGTTGAATTGAATTGTTATGTCATGAATGTTTCACAATGTTTCGTATTAAATAACATCCTTACCAAAGGCTAGCCAATCTGATGATTCCAACTAGAACGTAAATGAAAGTAGCTTCAAACCTGGAGTTAGAAGGAAAGAAAAGGATACTCACAAGTCTAAAGCAGTCATTGTATTTACAGTTGAGGACTGATGATACTGCTTAATTGCTATTGTGCACACAAACATCACACTGTACTTTCAATATATATGTACTGGCGCGACACTACTGACTATTTTTTTTTTAATATTTGTTCACCATAGACTCAAGAGAGAGAAGCGGCTAACCGTATGCGTGAACGCGCGAAGGAACTTCAAAGGGAAAGGCTGGAGGCAGCGAAACGCGGCCAAAATCCGCGCTCCAATGTATCATTTGGTAAGTTAAGTTCGGTAAAATTAATATATTACCGAACCAATTAAAACGATTTGATCCAAAGAGTAGGAATTAATGGAACTATTTATTCCATCATCTGTGGTACCCATTAGAGGCAGATCGGCGTGGTTTGAGCGCTCCTATGAGACTGCATTACGCAGTAAGCAGGAGTGTTACCAGGCCTGGGCTGAAGCTTCGGCGGCTCTGGATGTAAACACCAGCAACCTTAAAAAGAAGCATAACGTCGCCTCCAGGTCCTACGAAAGACTTATTTCCAAGGCAAAGTATGAGCACATTAGCAGTATTGGCGAGAAACTAATTCGCCTTCCTTCGGGAATCCCGTGCATTCTGGTCTCTCGCCAAAGCTGTTCAAGAGAATTTCTGTAAGCCATCACTTCCATCTCTGCACAAGGAGGATGAAGACGACTCACAGGCCCACGTCGCAAAAGAGAAAGCCGACCTTTTAGGCTCCCTTTTTGCGTCGAACTCTACTTTTGATGACATCCCGCAGTGTGAGTGCTCTATGCCTGATGTGCGATTTACACAGTGCTCGCTACGCAAAGGACTCCTCTCCCTGGACATCCACACGTCGAGTTGGCCTGACGATTTCGGGTGTCCTCAGCATTGAGGAATCCCCAATTGTGCTGAGGATGTGTGCTCCAGAGTTCGCACTGGTTTTATTCCCCACTCATATTAAAGAAAGCCTATATTAAAAGAAATATTTTAAGTTGCTTCTTCAAGTTACTATTAATATCAGATAATAATTCATTGTTTAGATTTTGATACTACATAAATTACTAAAATGTTTATAGAATTAAAAATCCGAATTAAATTAGGATCAATCGTTATCATTTCAAACTCGTGCTGTCATAATAATTATCTAAAATATTTTTTTTTAATTTCTTCATTAGGCAGTGGTTTCGGAAGTTCTTCCATGCCACCATCTTCTACCAGCGAGCCCATGATAGAAAAAATACCAACTACCCCGGCGCGTGAAAAGTAAGTTTAGTTAATAATTAAAGGTTTTGTATTTCAAGTTTTTTATGTGGTAGAGCCATGCTGCAGCTATATTAATAGTATAGTTGTAGCACGAATGGGTCGGCTCAACCGAGGAAGGACCACGCTCTCACAAAGTACTAGCGCTACAAAGGTATAATGAGAAAGATCTAATCGAGGATTGATGAAGATGTCTATGGGCCGCAGCAACCACTTACCATCAGATGGACTGTGTGCTCGTTTGTCACCCTTATCCTATATAAAAAGTTTTTTTAATTTAAGTTTTTTTATCGCTCTATCTTTTTGTTCTTATATACAATGAATCTACCCTCAAAAATACCTCATTATGAAGTGGTTGATAAAGCAAATCATTTCTACAATAGGAGAGGTTGTGTACTATAAAGGTATAATGAGAAAGATCTTGTTATTTTAATTTAAATTTGAACCCAACATTTGTGCCTGACAATGAGACTTGGGTCGTTTTTAAAGCTATTCTGACGATCAGTCCTGACATTCGTCGTCCATAGCTACATATGGATTATTCACTTATACATAATAATGCATTTAGTATTGCTATAAAATACTTTTACGCAACAAAACCTGGTTAGTACTGTACTACTTGGCCGATTGACTGTCAGTACTTCCCGTACGCACTGACCGTCAGGATAGCATTTCATCATCATCATCATTACAGCCCTTCACAAGTCCACTGCTGAACATAGGCCTCCTCCAAAGAATGCCACAAAGCACGGTTCACGGACTATGTTGGTAGCTCTGGTTCTACTGCGAATATCCTCATTTTTAAGTCTATCACGCAGAGAAATCCCGAGCATAGCCCTCTCCACCGCTCGCTGGGAAACCTTGAGCTGTATGACAGCAGTAGTGAAGGAGCAGGTCCATAGAATATGTCTGATAGCATTTTAATATGGCCTTATTGGCCTTCTGTACTTTGTGGTGGTAATAAATATGATTCATATTTCTTTTTATAGTCGTCCGACAATTCGTTCCGCTATGAAGCTTGGCTCGCGGGGCACTGATGCGGACTCGTTCGTGTCGCGGCTGGCGAAGGAGGGAGACGTTGCCGCTATAACGCCACAAATCGCCGCTGCCACTAAGGACATCGCGCCAATCGCCGCTGATCACAAAGAGTAAGTTCGCCACTGAGATGCAGCTGTCAGGACTGATTTTATATGTGGTAGAGCCATGCTGCGGCTATATTAATAGTATAGTTGTAGCACGAATGGGTCGACTCGACAGGGGAAGGAATACACACTCACAATACCAGCGTAAAATAGCAGCTTAATGCTGCTGTGTTTTGTATGGTCAGTGTAGAGAACCGGAGACCCTTTTTACTGGAAATGAGGCATTCTATATATATTTTTAGTCCTCACGGCTGACAACGCATCTCCATTTTAATTCGCAAACGAAGATAGATGTAGATCTCTATTGGTCATCTATCACTGCAACCACTTACCATCAGGTGGACTGTGTTCATTTGTCACCCTATAAAAAAATGCAGATTCGTCTATAAATATTTAACAGTGCAATAATTAATGTATAATAAGTTTGTAGTCCATATTATTTAGGTACTTATACATATTACATCTTTCTTTTTAGTGTTTTTCTAACCCCGAAAGCAAATGTGTGTGTGTGTCTGTCTGTGGCATTGTAACTCCTCAGCATAATTTATTTTATTTTTGTTTGAAAGGTGATTTGATCGAGAGTGTTCTTAGCTATGATTAAAGAAAATCTTTTCAGCCGTTTGAAGATCATTATTTAAGTTAAAAATTCATAGTCAAAGTCTAAAAGTAAAAAAGTAAAAAAAAATAGCTATTCTATTCACTTTAGGATTATTAAAAAAAAATTATGGACGGTCTACACCGGTTCAGAAAATCAGGACCTTCTCATCAGAGAAGAACTGGCAAGAAACTCCAGGGTTCTTTTTTTTGAATTGCCATATTACAATTTTTTTTATAACTTATATGGTCGCTTATATCACCCATGGGAGTCAGGGGTTGCGTCTTGCTTGCATCAAATAGTTTAATTGGCTATTCTTATAACCACAGAATTTTTAATTAAACAGAGGATATTGACTTATATTCAGACGTACTGACTGATATCCCATAGATTATGACAGGAATCCCCAGACACAGAAGGAATGAACTCTGGGATCCAGAGTTGCGTACCCGTAAACCAGGGATTTTCCCGGACAGAATTGACTTACGGAACTTCTAGAAAAGAGTCTACTTTTTTTTAAAGTCGCATCTGCAATTCCCCTGGTGTTGCAGTCGTTCATAGGCGGCAGTAGTCACTTGCCATCAGGTGAGCTGCATGCTCATATGCCTCTTCCCCCAAAAAAAAACAAAATTTTGAAATATGTACCCCTTATTTACGATTTTTTTATATGTATGTAATCTTGACTCTGTATCAATGTCTTCATACTAAACTCTATTAACTTTTTTTGTTACAGCGTACACTTACGATTTGAAGAGAGGCTGAGCTTGACGGCTGGGCGTGACGGCGACATACAGAACTTTGAACTCTCTGGTGATTATCTTAACGTTCAAAGTTGTATTGTTGTGGTTTTTTTTTACTGATGTAACGTGATACAATGCTGAGTTTTGTTTTCCAGGCCTTCTAACACTGAGGATCACAAATGAACAGTACGGTCGCATTCATGTGCACATCGACAATAAAGATACAAGGCCTTTACAGTTGCAGGTAAGATGCTGCAGAATGCATATTATGTAACCTTCTTTGTTTGAAGATGGCTGCCGGTGTCTATGAATTACAGAAGCTAGTTACCATCAGGTGGACTTCAAGTGGGTATGACACCTTAGTTTTACAAAAACAAAAATATAAAATCTTACATGTAGTCATTCATGTTCACATTTCATCTTTATCATCATCATCATCATTACAGCCCTTCACAAGTCCACTGCTGAACATAGGCCTCCCCCAAGGAATGCCACAAGGGGCCGCAGCAACCACTTACCGTCAGGTGGACTGTGTGCTCGTTTATCACCCTTATCCTATAAAAAAAACCTTTTTCGATCCATCAGTTGGATCTTCATCTTTATATATGTATGTATATAATTCTTCTGTTTGTGTGTATGTGACTGAACTCCTCCTAAACGGCTGGACGGATTTTGATGGAATTTTGTGTGTGTGATTTATTTGATTCGAAAATTGTTTAGATTTCCAATGGGACGTTTTGTAGAAGGACAAATGTCCAGTGAAAGACTTACTAAAGTTGAGAACAATTAACATTATAATATTTTCCACAGACCCATCCTAACGTAGACAAAGAGGCATTCCGTTCGAGCGGTGTGATTGGTCTCAAACAAGTGCAGAGACCGTTCCCAATGAACAGCGACGTCGGAGTGTTAAAATGGCGGCTCACTAGCTCGAATGATGATAAGTTAGCTCCACTATCAGGTCAGTGACAGATATAGTTCTTTATGACAGGAATTACATTTTATTTTAAACATATAAAGAGTATTTCTTGGTAACTACTTTATCAAATAAAACATTCATGCAACACGGTAAGCATAATGATTTCTTATATTTACGCGAACACTACACATTGAATAACTGTTTTTTATTAAATTCCCGACGTTTCGGGTACTTTACGATACCACTTAGGGACCTTCAAGAAAAGAGCCTACTGCTTTTTAAAAGGCTGGCAACGCATCTGCAATTCCCCTGGTGTTGCAGTTGTTCATGGGCGGCGGTAGTCACTTACAATCAGGTGAGCCGCATGCTCATTTGCCCCCTCTCCTATTAAAAATAAACCTATGGTCATGGGTCATGATTGATGTCCCGATGTCAGAGTTGACCCGGAGTACCTTCAGCTTTTTTAATTATAAGTTTTGGTCCAATCTACGCACTAAAACATCGAGAATTTAATAAAAATAAGTTAATTAAACGCGATAGAATCCGTAAAAGTAGTTTTATTCAACACAGTAAGCACTCAGAAGTACAATAAGATAATACGTAAACAGGTGGAGTATGCAAACCAACAACAAACACCGTTCAATACGATGTCACAATATAGCCTCTCCACAACATGACCTTGCTAAAATATCTACCTATATTGTTCTAAAGTAATTAGCACAACAATTATTATATTTAAGATTTTTTTTGCAACTGCCAGGGCGTCGTAATCGTATCAACAACAAAGCCCTTTATCTATGAATGAAAAGAAATTAGCACAACGGACTGAATTTCCGCACTGACGACTTTGAATAATCCATTTAAAATAATTAACAGAATCAAGCGATACTTTGCGAAAATCTATTATATTAAAGATAATTTGCTAATATCCGAGTAATAAAAATGTGTTTATCTAGTTTGGAGAGCACCTCCCGCACTCCCTCAGTTGCATGCTCCATCCCCGTCACCACGAATCCGAACACGATTACACTAGGAAAGACACACCGCCGTCGATAATACGACACGTGTTTCCCCTCTAAATGACGCATCCTCAGGTGAAATAGACTGTGGACTGCTAAGTCCATTCTACCTGCAGGGCTAGCATGGGCAGGAGACAATTTTATCCCCGGGGAACGGAGAAAATGTTTATCCCCTCGCTTAGTTTTATCCACCCTTCGAGCATGGGCACACCGGTGGATGTAATATCCACAATAGATAAAATGGGAGATAGATAGATTTTTTGTATGAATATAAACTTAAACCCACGTCCAATGAACTAGGATATAATTGTCCTTTTCAAATGTCAAAAAAGTATAGTTTTTTATCTTTCATTTGACTCCATGCTACGGACGGGGGATATATGTCTACTCGTTATGTCAAAAGGGGATATACTTTTACCCGTTGTCGTGCTTTAGCATAGGGACAAGATAATTTTATCTCTTGTCAATGGATATAATCGGGGGATAAAATTTTTGTCCCCAGCCCATGCTAGCCGTGCTGAGGATGAATTGAGTGTTCTTCACACTAGATAAGAAATATCATTTTATTTTATTACGTGTATCTTAGCTAATTATAGTACTATATTAACATTTTTAACAATCCAATTATCTTTTAAACATAATTTTGAACTTTTGAAACTCAAGATCACTCTCGCAAAGTGAAATCCTATAAGATAATTAAATTACCATTTCATTTTTTTATAGGATAGGGTGACAAACGAGCACACAGTCCACCTGTTGGTAAGTGGTTGCTGTGACCCATAAACATCTACATTTATCCTCAATAAAGAATCTAAATGCAGATGTGTTGGTCCCCGTGAGGACTGAGTTGGAGTGCTGCATTTCCAGTAAAAAGGGTCTCCGGTTCTCTACACTCACCATATGGAACACAGCAGTGTTAAGCTGCTATTTTACGCCGGTATTCTGTGAGAGCGTGGTCCTTCCCCGGTCGAGCCGACCCATTCGTGCTACAACTATATACCTACTACTAATATAGCTGCAGCATGGCTCTATATATTTTATTTAATGAGAAGGCAACACATTGGCCTGACCTGGTTAAACATTTCATATGACTCATCTTTTGAATTGGTAAATGTTCTGCATATTCTTTTATTGATGTTCCTACTAAAGTTATAAAACTCAAACTTTGACAATATGAATTGAGCGCTTCCTATAAAACCTTTTTTATATAAGTAAAAGTGATAAACGAGTAAATAATGTAAATATGATATGTGAGTTCCATAGATTCCTATATCTACCCTCAATTAAAAATCAAAATGCAGATGCGTCGTTACCCCTAAGGTTAGTTCTAGAATGCTTTGTAACCGGTAAAAAGGATATTCAAGTCTCGTTACTCTACTCATCATACGAAATATAGGACCACTATGTTGCTATTCGACGATGGTCTGTGCAAACGTACCCGTACACTGCAGTCCGGTTTTCGGTTTTATAAATATAATAATATTTATAATTTGCTTGTTGTAGTGAACTGTTGGCCATCAGAAGGAACTGGCGGTGGCTGCGATGTAAACATAGAGTTTGAGTTAGAGCAAGAACATCTCACCCTCACCGATGTGAATATCAACATTCCTTTGCCGTAAGTATCACCATGTCATCCCATATCATAGTAACCCTTAGTTCTGATTTAGTTTCGAGATCTTGAAACTAACTTAAAAAAGGGCAACTTAAGACAGACTCAAAACTCTCTAGCTCATTTGGAAGTTAGTTTTAAATCGATTACAAAATCTATATATATACAAATAAATAAAATTGAAGCGTCTATTTGTAACGTCAAAATAACAGATTTTTACTAAATGCATATTAAAGTATATACGGTACATATAACAAAAACACAATTTTTAAAATTTTTGTCTGTCTGCCTGTCTGTTTGTTCTGGCTAATCTCCGAAATGACTGGACCAATTTTTACGGGACTTTCACTGGCAGATAAGTGATGTCATAAAGACTAACTTAGGCTACTTTAATTTTAGAAAAATAATTAGTGTTGCGCGCAAAAGAATTAAAACCCTAAATCACACACGGGTGAAGTCGTGGGGAACAGTAGATTTATAATATGTTTATAAGGTTGTAAAGTTAATTTATAAGGTTTGTTCGTTAAACCTACATAACAACTTTAGAGTCTCATTATAATAACTGTAAAATGGGAAGCTTAAAAAATAAGTGTTGCGTATAGAACCACCTCCTTTTTTGAGTGTTAAATAATACCCTTGTTAGATGCCCAGGCTAAAAAGGAAAGCAATATATTGCGCACTGTAAAAAATAAAATAATATTAGATCTTGACCCGTGAAAGTTCGTTCTTTTCGATTGATTGCTAAACTACCAAGCAAAATGTTGACGGCACTGTAATTAAGAACAGTCCAGCTGTGGACTGTTTGTCAGCTAATAATCATAGTATGTTATTTATCTGTGTGGGAGTATAAAAGAAATAAGTTTAATATTTTCTTACTTTAAATTCAAGTCTACACTGGCATTATACTACCCCAAATGGAATTATGTATGTTTTATTTATATATACATATAGTTTAACAATAATACCTTTTAAATAGATCTGGCAACACAACTTTGGTAGTACATCAGTGGGAAGGTAGCTATACGCAAAAAGGACGCACATTGCTTTGGAACATTCCAGTTGTAAATAAACAACAAAAAACTGGCAGTCTGGAATTCACGTGAGTATTTAAGAATATGATTTATTTTGTGATTTTTAAATTATAGTACTTCTAAATAATTAAAATTAATCTATTTTAACATTTGAAAATTGTCGACAGTGCACATTATGTTTTTCTTCTTTGTATGTACCTAATAAGTAATTTTTACACATTTGCTCCAAACTGAACAAGTATATTTTAATGTAATTTTATGACACGTAGCTGTATTGATTATTAAATGTTTTACAGCGATTTAACTTCTGCTGAGGGAGGGGCCTGGTGATCCTAGCATATATAGCACAGGGCAATATAGTTTGGGCACCAGTCTCCCACCTAGATCTTATTTATTAGTATAGCTGTTATTTAGTTGTATAGTTCACTGTTACTAAGTTTATTGTGATGTACTGATCATAATATGTGGGAGAAAACAAATACCAATTATTATTATTCTCATTGGCAATCTATGTTAACTATTAACAGATAGTTAATAGTTAAAGTTAATTAATAATAATAATTTAATTATCACAATTGCTTTTCAATATGAACTCAAAAGAGTTAGGCTAAGAACTCATGAAGTGATATTTACCTGCTCTTGCAGCGGCAGCGGGAACGCGTTATCATCTATATATACTTCCCACTTCTGAGCACAGGCCTCTCATTTCTGAGAGTGTTTTAGGGCAAGAAATTGTCTACTGCGCTGTTCTAATGCGTGTTGGCAGACTTAACATTAATTAATTTAAATTATTTATTTCGTCAGACATTAAAGTTACATTTTATGAACAGTGATCGAAGTCACTTAGTAAGCAAAAAATGCCAGTAACAGAGGGGGACAGCTGTCTCTCCCTGCCCCCCCCCTCCCCCGGCGACGCCCTTGAATAGAAGGTACGATTGAACCCAGCTCAAATTTTTGATATTTTCTTCAACAGTGTAACTCCGGCGATACCTAACGACTTCTTCCCAATAACTGTCACCTGGACGTCGGACACGTCACTAGCTCAACTGACAGCTGTCAAAGTGACGCAAGCCGACGACGGCTCTCCGGTGGACTTCTCGCAAGACATCAGCTTCCGCCCGGACAAATATGAAATTGTGTAAAGTGTAGTAATTGATTAGTGAAATTATTTTTATACAAATTTTCTTCGTATATTGTAAGTGACAGGAAAAGGAAAACAGAAAGATTTATTGAAACATATTATTAATGTTAGTAACCCTTTACCCCCACCCCTTTCTTGTAATTCCATTATGATTTCCTTAGTATAAGTAATACAGGGTTATTTTTCAAAGAGTAGCCAAATTTTAAACTTAAGTTCAAATATATAAATAATAATATACCGTTATTGCAGTTTTTGAAAATACACGTAAATAAGGGTTCTACTTTTATTTCAAATTATCCCAAATTGAATGTGATTTATGGGCAATAACGTCTGCCTACCGATCGATCCTTACGAATGTGTACGTTCGCAGTAAAAATAATGCATTACCACGCATTTTGAATTTAAAAGATAAAAAGGACAGAATGTTTGAGATCTCGATTAATTAATTTTCCTTCACCATTTGCCTATATTATACTTATTCTGAACCTTCTCTGCAAATTTGGCCGGTTACTACAAAATAACCCTGTATATTGTTTTCTTAACTTTATATAACCCTATATAAGAATTATTTATGTATGTTTCCTATCGATATGATAGACCTTATCGTGTGAACATGCAAAAATGTATTCATAGAGTAATATGCAATAAATTTGATCGTAAAATATTGTTTTATTTCGTGCGTTACAAAATGTTAAAGTTACGTGTTTGTATGCTGTTAGTTTGTGTGAATGTAATCAGAAGCCAATATTTTGCTCGAAGACAAGATCATATTCACTCCTATAGAAAATCCCAAGATAATACTTTGAATTTAACCCTAAGCAGTGAGTAGTTTACTATTAGATTAGATTTTAGATTTAAAATAATAAATTACCATTTCTTTAATAAAATTTTCTTATTTCAAATAATATATCTTGCAAATATTTCGGATAAAATAGAGAGCACATACTCATGTCGGCATCTGCATAGGCAAATATTTCGATATTAAAGACGGACCCTACAATTTTATTATCTTATTAACTAAAGTCCCTTAATAACTCTGTCAAAGAATTTTGTCCTGGGAAGAAGTCAAAAAAAAAGATATTTAGACTTGAACCTTTTTAGGTTATGTCTTTGTCACTTGGAAAAAGGTCATGCGTCCCGTGGTTGTTTGATGTTAGCTTAATACATTTTTTTTATAGGAGAGGGGGCAAACGAGCATGCGGCTCACCTGATGGTAAGTGACTACCGCCGCCCATGAACAACTGCAACACCAGGGAGGGAATTGCAGATGCGTTGCCGGCCTTTTAAAAAGGAGTACGCTCTTTTCTTGAAGGTCCCTAAGTCGTATCGGTCCGGAAAAATAGCTGATGGTAATCGATTCCACAAGGAAGTCGTGCGAGGAAGAAAATGCAAAGGGATGCAACATCTCTTCGCAGCGCCAATGAATCGAGCCGATCGGAAAGTGCTCGGTCGTCGACGATTCGAGCCGCTCTGCGCTGGATGCGGTCAAGTGGAAGGAGCTGGCACTGGGGAGCCCCTGCCCAGAGATGGGAACAGTACTCCATGTGAGGCCGAACCTGCGCCTTGTAAAGTTGCAAGCGGTGTGCCAGCATGAAATACTGTCCCGCCCTGCTGAGCACGCCAAGCTTTTTAGAGGTCAATTTGGCCTTCTCTTCCAAGTGGCTACGAAACTGCACGTCACTCGATATGTCGACTCCGAGGATACCGATACTGGCTGAGGCAAGATGGGGAGTGCCTTGAAACTGAGGAGATACGTCAAAGGGGTTCTTTTTAGCGGTAAACGCGCAAACTTGTGTCTTCTGAGGATTAAACTGGACAAGATTTAGTCGCCCCCAATCCGAGACTTTATTCAGCAAAGACTCGACTTCAGACACAAGTTTGTTCCGGTAGTCGGCGACGTTTTCCCGAGAAATATTGGCACGGCCGGTGTATAGAGCATCACCAGTGCTGTCATCCGCATAGCAATGAATGTTACCAGTTAGCAACATATCATTGATATGCAGAAGAAACAGCGTTGGTGATAGCACACAGCCTTGTGGAACACCAGCGTTAATAGGCTTGTAGTCAGAACATGCACCGTCTACAACGACCTTGATGCTCCGATCTGCAAGGAAGCTGGTGATCCAATTGCACAGTTTCTCAGGAAGCCCATAGGAAGGGAGCTTCGAAAGAAGCGCTTTGTGCCAGACCCGATCGAAGGCTTTCGCAATGTCCAGACTAACGGCCAACGCGTCCCCCTTGGACTCTACTGCCTCCGCCCATCTATGGGTCAGGTAGACCAAAAGATCACCAGCTGATCGACCCCGACGAAAACCGTATTGGCGGTCACTAATCAGCTGGTGATCCTCAAGGTACCGGATGAGCTGGCAGTTAATAATGGATTCCATTATTTTGGAGAACAAGGAGGTGATCGCGATAGGCCTATAGTTGGACGGGTCTGAGCGGTCGCCTTTTTTAGGGATCGGGTGGACAAAAGCTGTCTTCCATGAATTCGGGACTACGCCTTGGGAGTAGGAGTACCGGAAAAGATGCGTTAGGACCGGTGCCAACTCCGGAGCACACGTCCTCAGCACAATTGGGGGGATTCCGTCAGGCCCACTCGACTTCTGGATGTCCAGGGAGAGAAGTGCTTTGCAAACCGAGCGCTGTGAGAACAGCACATCCGGCATAGAGCACTCACACCGCGGGATGGTCGGCGATGTTTTCCCCCCGTCATCAAGAGTCGAGTTGGACGCAAAAAGGGAGCCTAAAAGGTCAGCTTTGTCTTTTGCGTCTTGGGCCAGTGAGTCGTCCTCCCTGTGCAGAGATGGTAGTGATGGCTTACAGAAATTCTCTTGGACAGCCTTGGCTAGAGACCAGAATGCACGGGTTCCCGAAGGAAGGCGAACTAGTTTCTCGCCAATTCTGCCAATGTGCTCTGACTTTTCCTTGGCAATAACTCTTTTGAAGGACCTGGAGGCGAAGTTATACTTCTTTTTAAGTGTGCTGGTGTTTACATCCCGAGTCGCCGAAGCCGCAGCCCAGGCTTGATAACACTCCTGCTTACTGCGTAATGCAGTCTTACAGGAGCGACCAAACCAAGGCTGAGATCTGCCTCCGATGGGTACCACAGATGATGGAATAAATAATTCCATTCCCTGTAGCACCACATCAGTGACAGAGTCAGCAACAGCGCTGGGATCATCCGGCGAGAAGCAAACCCGCCCCCGTGGGTAGGATGCAAAGAAAGACCGCATTCCGTCCCAATCCGCCGACCTGTAATGCCAAACACGGCGGCAACCTGCAGAACGCAACCGCGAGGGGAGCGTGAGTGGCACCACACTCCGGATCAGACAATGGTCCGAAGAGCCAAGAGGGGCATCGACGGAAACCTGATATCCGTCCGGATGAGAGGTCAGCAGAAGATCCAACAGGGAAGGTGTATGATCCTCAACATCTGGAATCCGCGTAGGCGATGTAACCAGCTGTGTCAGACCATATGCCAAGGCAAAGTCATAAACAGATCTCCCCGCATGATCGGTTAAACGTGAACCGAGCCATTCGGCATGGTGGGCGTTAAAATCGCCAAGGATCACGATCTCCGCGGATGGGACCTGTTGTAGCAAGGAATCTGTAGCCATTTGGACGTGGTCGATGAGTCGGTCTGTTTCGGCATTATCGCTATGGGACCTATAGAGGCACCCGTAGACGCGCGGATGGTCGTCGCTGTCTACGCGTAGCCAAAGGATGGACAGGTCCGAACCTTCAAGACTGGCGAGGCGTCGAGAACAGATGTCCTCTCTGACATACACGCAAACTCCAGCCCGAGGCTACTACCCCGGGTAGGAGAGATACGAAATATCAGCCGGAGAGGACACCTGCGTCTCGGTCAGAAAGAGCAAGGCCGGCTTCGCCGTCTCGAGATGGTAGTGGACGGCGTTTAGGTTAGAGTGATGTCCCCCGATGTTGCAGAAATTCACGGATAGCGTGGCAGGGGTGGCCTTGGTATTGTTGCTCAGTTTGCCCCGAGCAGTTATGTTTTTGAGCGGAATTTTGCCCCCCCCCCCCCCCCCCCCAGAATACGCGGGGCAGCCTGAGCACCCACGCTCAGGATTGAAATAACATGGTCGTGGATGCTCAGCGAGGGATTCTCCAGGGGTACTGGTACCCTCCTGGGGTAGTTTATCGTGTAATTCCGCTACCATGTTGATGGGGGGGGGGGGGGGGGATTGGGCCTCCGGCAACCTGCAGTCACCAGACGAAACGCAGAAGCAGAGCCTCTACTTCACGCCGGTATTCTGTGAAGTCGTGGTACCAACCCGGCTCGAGCCGGCCCATACGTGCAACTGCAAAAACTGGCATGGCAACACTCAAATAGAGTAAAATGATTTAAGTCATTTGATATTCCCAAAAATATACGTTTTTTTCTGTGGCTTTAATTAAAATACATTTTTATTTAAAAATTATAGAAAAATAATAAAACGCATTATATCTATAACTTATCTCTAGATGCAATAATTGTTGTCAATTATTTTAGTTTTAGTTTTAGTCAAGCCGTGTAGTGGCGGTCAAGAATATCCACTACCCCATATCTTCCCGTGGGTGTCGTATACATACATTCAAACTTAATGGCGGCTCGGAACATCGTACGTTCCGATGCGCAGAACACAATTTTTGGGTATCAGCGGGATGTATAGGGACGTGGTGGCGGGGCACATCCCCGCGCGCATTCTGTCTCATACGCACTCACGCGACGCGTTTGCTTTTAGTGTTTGAGTTACGTTCACTCCTGCTTACGTACAGTTGAGCCCATAATTTGTTACTGTTTGTTAATTGTTTTGTTACGTTTTTTTGTTTGTTTTTGTTCCGTTAAGTTTTTATTGTTATTGACTGTTTTGTTTTCATCTGTGTGTTACACACATTAAGTTTTAGACTGTTGTTGGTTGTGGGAAAGTACTTTTATTATTTTGTTTAAATATGCCACGCGGACGATACAACGTTTTACGCAGGCAAGCCAGAAAA